AGGTCTCAAAGCTTAAGGCTACCAAAGCCAAATGCACTATAGCTACGCAAACCCAAGCATGCATGACCAAGACCACTCGAATCAGACCTAAAGTATGTTAAATCAAAGCCAAAAATGTACTGGAGTAAAGCATACACATGCTAGATCAATAGGCCAAAACATCAAACAAGCCAGGCTAGTGAACAAGCTTGCACTACAAGTGCATAAACCATGCAAGAAGTGATCTTGTCAACCAAAATCAGAGCTAAGACATGCCAAAATATGAGTAAAAGCCTGTTGGAGTGGAGCAAAAAACATGCTAAAATGGTGGTCCAAAGCATAGAGCATGTTAGGCTAACTAAGAGGATTGCACTACAAGTACATGAAGCATGTACGAAGCAACCAAACTAACCCAAAACAGAGTTATATCATGTTAGAATAAGGCCTGAAACATGCTAAGATAGGGCCTTATGAAGGTAGAAAAGCATGCCAAAGTGTTAAGCCAACAACACAAGCAAACAATACACAAGAAGGGGGGGACCACCCCCATCCATTTTGGGTCTCAAAACCTACTTTTCCACCACTGAAATTCCTCTGGAATTCAGTGGTTAAAAGGCCAAGAGAAGGTGATCTCAAAGGCCTAAAGAGATAGCTCAAAGCAAAGCAAAACAAGCCACAAAAGAAGGTAGATCACCCCTAACTCAAACAAGGCCTCAAACAACCATCCTTAACACTTAAAAACCTTTTGTAGTTAAGAGTAAGGCCTGAAAGAGCATGCAAGAATGACCAAACAGGCAATTAAAATAAACCTTTAAAGAGGATATAGGCCTCACCCTTGAAGAACAGCAAAACCAGCAGCTTTTTTGAGCCAAAACCAACTTTAGGATGCCCAAACAAGTCCTATGGAATCTCAGCTCCAAGGTCAAGAGGTTTGGCTAAGGGGTTGTAGGCAAAATGTGTGAAGAACACTCACTTTCAAGCAATATAGATAGAGAGAGAGAGAGAGAGAGAGAGAGAGAGAGAGAGACAGACAGACAGAGATATGTTTTGTCTTAATCAAAATTCTGAACCTTTGGAAGGGGAGAGGAGCCTCCCCTTATATAGAAACACAAGCCTCAAGCCTGTTTGACAAGCTAGAAGCTTGTTACAATCCCCCCATACACGTGTGTGGAGGATGCCTTCTATGCCCAACAGCTGGCACAACTGGCACCAAAATATCTGCAAAAGCAAGAAAAGGGCCTCGGCCAAAAAAAATGGCCGACGGGCCATTAAAGGGGCCGACCGGTTATCAGTGAGGCCGACCGGGCACCACTGATGGTGGATGGAAAGAGGGCACAGCCGATGGGCACTGGGCCTGGCCGATGGGTTGTAGGGCTAGCTATCAGGCCACCCTCTTCCCTCAAAAACAAAGTCGCAAGCTCTTGGTCCACAACCAAGCACAAAACAAACAAGTTGAGAGGCTCTAAGGCAAGGCGCACGGCCGAGACCTTCAGGAACTCCAAACGAATACGAGCATGGATGATCATCGAGTGTTCAAACGATGACGTCCAAGTCTTGAGGACAGTCAAAAATGGAGTGTCTACAGTTGCCCCTCTTTGACAGAACTCGAAAGTCATGAGATGACGGGAGTCAATGTCAAAGCGCAGAGATGACCCATTTTTGATAAGGCCGAAGACTTAGACAAACATACAAAATAACAATACAGAGATGCGCCCGCGGACTGGGGCAAAATGCAAATGACATGCACAACGCAGAACATAACTTATGATTATGCAAAGAGGGCTGTAAAGAAATATCATGCAATTGTTATGTAAAGAAATACTACAGTAAACTCGTACATAAGCAAGTAAGTGAACACGCCACGCGCAGGAATTACAGACCGAACTACATTTCATGCAGGAAGGATGTAAGAAAATTATGCAATCTTAGCGAACATGTACGATAGATATACAAAGCGAATGTGTGATAGATACACAAAGCGAACGTGTGATAGATATACAAAGGTGAACGAAGTGTGATAGATATACTAAGTGAACATGTGTGATAGATACACAAAAGTAAACAAAGTGTGATAGATACACTAAGTGAACATGTGTGATAGATACACAAAAATGAACAAAGTGAGATAGATACACTAAGTGAGCATGTGTGATAGATACACAAAAGTCAACAAAGTGTGATAGATACACTAAGTGAGCATGTGTGATAGATACACAAAAGTGAACAAAGTGTGATGGATACACTAAGTGAACATGTGTGATAGGTACACAAAAGTGAACAAAGTGTGATGGATACACTGAGTGAACATGTGCGATAGATACATAAAAGTGAACAAAGTGTGATCGATACACTAAGTGAGCATGTGTGATAGATACACCAAAGTGAACAAAGTGTGATGGATACACTAAGTGAACATGTGTGATAGATACACAAAAGTGAACAAAGTGTGATGGATACACTAAGTGAACATGTGTGATAGATATACAAAAGTGAACAAAGTGTAATAGATACACTAAGTGAGCATGTGTGATAGATACACCAAAGTGAACAAAGTGTGATCGATACATTAAGTGAGCATGTGTGATAGATACACCAAAGTGAACAAAGTGTGATCGATACACTAAGGCCAAGTTTGGCTAACCTAAAAAAGTGCACTTATTTCATCTTTTTATCTTTTTTGGGTCACATCAATCAACATCTCCTCTCTACTTTTTCTACACATAATACAAAAAAAGTCAAAAAGTACACTTATTTAGTCTTCCCAAACTTGGCCTAAGTGAGCATGTGTGATAGATACATAAAAGTGAACAAAGTGTGATAGATATACTAAGTGAGCATGTGTGATAGATACACAAAAGTGAACAAAGTGTAATAGATACACTAAGTGAGCATGTGTGATAAATACACACAAGTGAACAAAGTGTGATGGATACACTAAGTGAACATGTGTGATAGATACACCAAAGTGAACAAAGTGTGATCGATACACTAAGTGAGCATGTGTGATAGATACACCAAAGTGAACAAAGTGTGATTGATACACTAAGTGAGCATGTATGATAGATACACAAAAGTGAACAAAGTGTGATGGATACACTAAGTGAACATGTGTGATAGATATACAAAAGTGAACAAAGTGTGATCGATACACTAAGTGAGCATGTATGATAGATACACAAAAGTAAACAAAGTGTGATGGATACACTAAGTGAACATGTGTGATAGATACACAAAAGTGAACAAAGTGTGATAGATACACTAAGTGAACATGTGTGATAGATACACAAAAGGGAACAAAGTGTGATGGAGACACTAAGTTAACATGTGTGATAGATACACAAAAGTGAACAAAATATGATAGATACACTAAGTGAATGGAGTGTCTACACAACCCACAACTGGCGACCTTCTTTCTCCCGACCCACTTGGTGGTCTCCCTCACTACATTCGATTTGCAGCCTTTTTACTTTTCAATTGAAGCACATCGTAATTTTTTATTTTTGTTTGTCTAACATAAAGTTGGTTTTTAAGATGTGGATTTGGGAATATGGACTGTGGGAGGTTAAATTCAACACAAGAATAGTCATCAAACTGACCAAACCATGTGTGATAGACACACTAACAATTTTGCAGATTTGTGAATCTCTCTAACAATCTATGTGAGCGGATTACTTGGTTTCACAGTTTTGAGGTTAGGTTGGATTTGGATTTATTTTAATGTTTTGGAGACTAAAGTGACAAGCTAAAATTTTAAAATTCATAAATTGATCCTTAATTGTGAAATTGATAATTAGATCAAAACAAAAATAACAAATAATAAATAGTTTTGGATAAAAAAAATTTTAAACAAAAAATCATAGGGCCTAACCTGTAATAAAATAAAATTTTAATTTTGTAAATTTAAATCTTAATGTTTTTTATATTTATTTTCAATTTAACTATCTGTCTATTTTCATTAACTAAAACTACCAAAAAAAAAAAGTATTTTAAAAGGGTATTTTGGGATATTTTAAGTGCACTTACATTTAATTTAGTGATTAAAATATTATTATTTTTTTGTTGATTTAATTAACGGAAATAAGTTGATGGTTTACATTGAAAATAAATCAAAATATTTAAATTTAAATTAAAAAGATTAAAAGTTATTTTATTGTAAAAGTTATTTTTTTATTTTTTGGTTATATGTTTTAGGCCTTGTTTGTCAGTAGATTAATTGGCTTGGCAAGTAACTAAAAAAAGTTAAGATGTCATTATAAATTGTTATATTACTCTTTTTATTTTTCTGCACATATTTTTATAAAAAGAAAAAATTTAATTAAAATAGTCAATTCCCAAACCAACTTTTAATATAACAAAAAATCAAAAAATTATAATAAATTATCACATTATTTTCCTTCATAAAAAAAATAAAATCAGTTAAAATAACCCATTTCCAGTTTTGTTACCAACCGAAACAGAGCCACCTATGATTGCGTACCGTTCAGGTAAGTGACAGAGATCATCGCGAACCCTCCAACGGTGAGAATGCCAAGAGTAGAGGTGTGGGCAATCCAGTTTGTGTGATTTGAGAATAAAACTACAAAATGAATGTGTGAATTGATAAATTATAATTTGAGCAATTTTGAACGGATTGAAAAATATTTTAATAAATTATCAAATATTTATATTATATATAACATTAATTTAAATAATATTTATATGTATATAATATTTATATGTATATATATATATAATATAAACAAATTTTACATAATATATATATTTTTATATATAACTATTAATTCATTTTTAATTTAAAATTAATAAATATATATGTATTAATTGTAATAGAACAGAATGATCTTGAAAGGGAATTATAAATTTCAAAATTTAATTCATAATAAACGGATTACGAATTAATATTAGTAGATTAGACGAATTTTGCACGGCCTAAACATGAGGTGTCAACGACCAATGAAGTGATGCCAGGTGGACTCTCTGATTCAACTCTTGAACCAAAACGCACGACTTGCCCTCTGGAACCTTCCTTCGTAACCTATCTTCGGATTCCCGTCAAATCTGTTTTCCTTTTTATGCTGCTTCGAAAATCTTCGGTCGATCGATCCCTTGGTGGTCGGTCGTTCGCTGTGCAATCAATCTATCGATCGCTTTCTCGTTCGCTCGATAAGGTAAAGCAATTTGTAATCTCTCTCTCTCTCTCTCTCTCTCTCTCTCTCTCTCTCAATTGAGTATAGAAACCCTAATTTTTTTTTATCTTTTATTTTGTTGGGTAAATTGTCAAAAACGTGCCGTTTCTCATGTTCGTTTATGATTGAACAAGATCTTGCTATTTTTTGGTTGAATTGTCGGATCGAATATTTTTTTCCCCTTCTTGTAATTGTGATCGAATATTTTTTTTTTCTCATGCTCATTATTTTTGTTTTTATTTATGTTCGTCTAGCAGTGCTAGATGGATTCATATCAATCTAGGGTTTCGATTCGGTTTAGATTCAAGTGTTATTTTTGTTTTTTAATGCCAATAATTTGATATTGGATCAGTTCATTTGAAGATTTTTATTTTGATTAGTGTAGAGGGCTTGTTAAATTTTTCTTGTTTTATTACTTGTGAAAAAGTTGGTAAATTTTGATTTCAGAAGACTAATATGTCCACCATCACATGTAATTGAAATTATCTTATAAGCTTATGATTTGTGAAGAAGGTTTGTTAGACTTTGTATTTGTAGTTTTTGAGAAATTTGTCAGTCTTGATTTCATGAATATATATATATATATATATATTTAAGGTTTTTGTTAATTTGGGGTTTATATGGTTTATAGGGAATCTGAGGTTTTGTGGTTGAGATTATTACTTGTGAAACAGTTGGTAAATTTTGATTTCAGAAGACTAATATGTCAACCATCACATGTAATTGAAATTATCTTATAAGCTTATTATTTGTGAAGAAGGTTTGTTAGACTTTGTATTTGTAGTTTTTGAGAAATTTGTCAGTCTTGATTTCATGAATATATATATATATATATATATTTAAGGTTTTTGTTAATTTGGGGTTTATATGGTTTATAGGGAATCTGAGGTTTTGTGGTTGAGAGATGGCAAGTGGATTTGGGGAATCAACGAGCACGCCACCCCAAAGTCCTTCTTGCTCAAGCAGCAATGGTAACAACAATGACGCTGGTAATTTCGAATGCAATATATGCTTTGACTTAGCCCAAGATCCAATTGTAACTCTTTGTGGTCACCTCTTTTGCTGGCCTTGCCTGTATAAATGGCTCCATATTCACTCCCATTCACGGGAATGTCCTGTTTGTAAGGCCCTAATTGAGGAGGAGAAGTTGGTCCCTCTATATGGCCGTGGAAAGAACTCAACAGATCCGAGGTCTAAGTCGATTCCCGGCATTAACATTCCAAATCGCCCGGCTGGACAGAGACCTGAAACAGCCCCTCCACCCAATCCAAACCACTTTGCACAACATGGGTTTGGATTCATGGGTGGATTGGGGGGATTCGCACCAATGGCAAGTGCAAGGTTTGGGAACTTCACATTGTCTGCAGCATTTGGTGGTCTCATCCCATCATTGTTTAACCTTCAGGTGCATGGATTCCCTGATGCTACCATGTATGGGGCTGCTGCTGGGTTTCCATATGGGTTTTCTCATACATTTCATGGGGGACATGCACATCGATTCCCCCACCACACAAATCCAGGACAGCAGGCAGATTACTATCTGAAGCTGCTGTTTTTTATGATCATTTTGTTTGTTATCCTTGCCCTAGTGTTGAATTAGGTTAAATTTGATACCAGAGGCCATTGGATGTCTAGGGTTGTCGATCTTCCGCATTTATGATCTGTTAAATGTATTTAATGTGTCTTTCTGAGGAAATTGTTCATATAATATTTTTTCAGAACTTATGTAGGGGTCTATAATGTCCCGTCATCATTGAATATGACTTCTGTTTTTATAATTTTACTGCAAGATCTCTCTCTCTCTCTCTCTCTCTCTCTCTCTCTTACACACACACACACACAGAGTCACACACAGGCACCAGTGTTGCCAAAATCATACGATAATCATATTGTAGGAAAAAAGATACAAATCACAGACTTGTATCATTGGTGACTTGAATCATGAGATATGTTTCTATATCGCAGGATTTTGTATGTTATCGCGATTCAACTTGTATCGCACGATTAAATAAGTTTTACATTCTTGTTCACCTTTGGCCTCATTGGCTACTTTCTCACCATCAATCACCATAGATGACACTCATTGAATAAACTGTATTATCAAAAAATTCCCATACAAAGGAGACCCAACTTCAAATAAACTCACAAGAAAAAATGACTCTAATACTCTTTTTGCTAGAAGAAATTAAAGTACTGTCATGAATCTAATTTGATTAAATTTATATATACCTTTTTGACCAATTTGGTCATTGGTTATATGATTTAGTAGTTTATTTTTGCAATATATTTATATGATGATATGAAAATACTTATTTTTTTATCTATATTTATATATGTTAGTGTAACTTACGATACACAATATGATACGATACATAATACATAAAAGAGATATAACGATAGACGATACGTCTGACAACACTGGCAAACACAAATCCATTGACACACACAAGTACATTATTATGGCAGAGTAGGATGCACGATGGCAGCAGTTGTATGTTGCTTCCCATATAAGTATACCTGAAATTTTAAGAGTTTTGTACCCGTTACATGGGTTTTGACTAGTAATTAAAAAAAGGGTGATCCATTGCACAACACTAAGGAAAAAACAAAAACTAAGACTATTTTAGCTTTGCAGGATAGAGGAAGGGATCCCCCAATCCATACAGACTTGCCAATTCTGCATATTACTTTTAATCCCCTTTAGAGAATAGGTTCTGGCTCGTATATCCCTCATTATTTCATGCAGAATCAGATCCTGGTGTTTAGTTGAAGACTTTGTTGTTCCTTTCTAACAATATATGATACAAAGTACAAACTAGAGAAAGTTTGGTTATGACATTACTCAAATTCCTACTATTTGCTTGAGAGATAACCCATTGAAGCTCGCCTGACCAGCCTATATGATCTCTATTAATATGATTCACTTGAAGCATTTTACTCCAAAGGTCTTTGGAAAAAGGACATGGGAAGAAATGATGTTCATGACTCTCATCCACAACACTACATAAACTGCATTTAGGATCAACATGCATGCCCCATTTTTATCTTTAGTTATTAACCGCTGCCAGCAGATAAGCCAATGGATAAATGCCCATTTAGGAACATACCCTTTAAACCAGACTACATGATACTAAGTGACTTCCTTCTTCACTGATCTAAGGGCCTCCCAAGCAGATTCAGAGGAATAGGTACCACTGATTGAAGGCAGCCATACAATCTCATCATTTCTTGTTAGATTTGGCAGAAAGTTTGGAAGAGTTATGGTGTAATGACTTGTTGAATACCTCTATTCCTCATTCTAGGTCATTCCCATCCGTCAACATTAACTATTTCAGTAACCTTAGCATCCAGAGCTCTGCCAAGGTTTTGTACAATGCTATCCCAAAACTGTTGATAGAGAGGGTTTATAGGATGCCAATTGTCAAGCCATGAAAAAGTAGATCTTCCATTACCTATTTTGTGCTTAATAAATTGCTGTCCAATCGTTCTGAGCTTGGAAAATTGTCTTGTAGTACAGATGTATCAGTAGGAGGGTCTAATATAGACCAGAAGCATTGGCCATTTATTATGTATGTATGCATTCACTTGATCCGAAGAGAGTTAACTTTCTTACAGGTGGACCATAGGTGTTTCAACATATTAGCTCTATTCCAAAATTATGCTTGCTGAAACCCACTCCCCCTTCTTAGTTGGGTGCACTTATGTTTAGCCCACTGAAGTTTAGCACCTGTTTGCTTCAAATCTGACCCAGTCCATAGAAAAGCTCTAAGCATGCTTTCTATTTTTTAAAGATTCTCTGGGAAAGGATAAAAAGAGAGTTCCAATAGATTTGTACACTATACAACACTGATTGCATTAACTGAACCCTCCCCCTATAAGATAGCAACTTATTCACCCAGGATTGAATTCTAGCATATATTTTGTCCTTCAACTGGATACAATCTTCATATTTCAGCCTTGTAGATATAAGAGGGACCCCTAAATATCTCACTGGAAGCTTCCCTTCAGGAATTGGTCAGATTAATAATGGTTCATTATTCAAAATTGGAGAGACTTCTGAAAAAAAATATAAATAAAAATAAAAATTGCACTTTCATGAAGATTTGGTTGGAGTCCTGACAAGAGGTGATATTGATCCAGAGTGGCCTTGATAAGGCTAAAAGACTTGTTATCTGCATCACAAACCACAGAGAGATTATCTGCAAAGGATATATTTTTGTGACGTTCAAAGCTTGACATTTAGGGTGGTATGAGAACTGCCATAGCTGACATTATGTAGTTTAAGAGACCAAAAAGACCTTCCGTTACTATAAGAAAAAGACAAGGGGAAATAGATCCCATTGCCTTCACCCTTTCTGTCCCTTGAAGTAACCCCGCCAACTCCCCATTCACAACAAAATAGTAGCTAGCAGTAGTTACACATTGAAAAATCCAATTGATGAATTTAACTGGGAAATCCATGGCGGCCATAATTTTCAACAAAAACTCCCTACTGACAGAATCATATGCTTCATGATACCTATCTTTATGGCACACCTGGCAGGGAAGTCATTTCCATGATTAGTTTCTTACTCTTGCATCAATAGAATGCTATCAGCAATAGACCTGCCTTTAACAAAGGCAGATTGGGTTGGTGAACTAATAAGACTGCCCAGAACCAAGTCTGCTTACCAGATTTTTCTAAATACATTTGTAGTGAACATTGCAACAAGATATAGGGGGCCCGAAATCCTTCAATGTGTTTGGGCAATATGTCTTGGGGGTTAAAGTTACAGTAGTGGCATTCCATTCTTTAAGCATAAAACTATTGGTAAAGAAAGCTTGGACAGCTTTGGACACATCGTCACCACCCACAACATGCCAATTTGTGTGATAAAAAGAAGTATTATACCCATCAGGGCCAGGTGCTTTATCTCCCATAATTGAAAACATTGCCTTTTTAACTTCTTTGTTAGAAACTGGAGCAATTAAGGCAACCTTAAAAAGCCCTGGTACTTTTGCCAAATTCAAAATATTTAGCATACTATTCTCCGGCGTCACTAGGGGATTTTGAGTACCAAGCAAGTATTTGTAGAATCTAACAACCATGGTTGTTAAAATCGCGATCCGGATTGTAGGATCGTACGATCCTACTTTGCCAAAACGATCCAGATCGTTGTAGGATCGATGTTATAACAGGATCGCAAGTAGGATCGTGTAGGATTGCATGGGATCGTGTAGGATCGTATGGGATCGTATAGGATCGTAGGTAGGATCGCAAGTAGGATCGTAGATTTTATGATTTTTCACCTTATTTTTAATATGTATCATTGTAATTTTAATTTTTATCTTTTTTTTTAATAGAAAGTAAGATCTTACGATTTTCGATCCGATCCTACGATCCGATCTACCAGACCCTCTCACCGATCCTACTTAGGATCCCGATTTTAACAACCTTGCTAACAACTTTCTCCTTGATAGCTTTACGTTCCACCAATCTATTGCCTTGCTCATCAGAAATGTTGAGAATTTTGTTTCTCATCATATGAGAAGCCACTTTCTTATGAAAAAGCTTAGTGTTACTGTCACCTGAAGCAAGCCGCTGCGCTCTTGATTTCTGTCATTTAAATTTTTCTTTAGCATTAGACAAATCAATGTAATTTGCCAAAGCCTCTTTCTCAGCTAAATGCATCTCCTCATCGAGAGGATTGTTGTGACACCTTCACTGCAACTTATGAGGAGTATCTTTTGCTTCCGGAACTTTGGCAGTGATACCACTATAGAATATCTGGTTCAATTATTTCAAAACTGGCTTTTCAGTTTCAAAGACAGCTTCAACATTGCAGATTCTTAATTGCTATTTCTGGAGATTGTTTTCTTCATAATTATATATCTGATTTCAGCACTTGCTGATATGGAAATTCTGTATCTTTTTCTTTATGTTTTGTTCTCTTGAGGATGGGGGAGGCAATACATAATTGTTTTACTCCAATATCATGCTGCCACTTCAAAAAAGCTAGACATAGGTGGAGATTTAAATTTGGAATTAGGAGTTTACAAGAGTTTGGTTCTTACATTGTGTGCTGCTTCTAATTTTTCCCTTTTCTAGGCACATGAGCCAATTTTCATTGCCTTGTCTTGTCTACCAAATGTGGAGATTTTTTATTTTTCTAGGTAGGATTTCTGGTTGTTAGGTCATCCATGAACTTGATTTCACCTCAGAAAGGCAGGAAGTGGTTGGATTGAACTTGCTTCTCTGAATCATTTACATGTACGCTTTTTATTTGTGTTTGATTACCTTGACTTAAAGTGATAGGCTTTTGGAGACTCAAGCTGATCTTCAATGGAGTTGGTTTTTGGTGCTGTTCTGAGCTTGTAAGTTCTAGTGACACAGTAGCTTTAAGCATGTGTCTGGCTCTGCTGCATGGATTGCCAAAGAGAAAGTATAGATTTCACTAGAAAAACCAAACAAATGAAGTGTCCAGGTTAGACGGTGCCTTCATATCATCTAAAATCATATTTTCTTGCTTATAAAGCTGCCTTCGAGCATATTTAATTTGTATATATTCAAAGTGATGAATTTTCTTGCTATGCAATGAGTTTTTATTGGATTTGCTCGCCCAAGCCCCAGCTCAGGTGTCAATGGGTGGGAATGGACATAGTAGGTTTGAATCATTCCAATTATTGTTTAGATTTGTTATGGAAGCAGCCTTAAAGCTTGGTAGTATGAACAAAACTGGTTGTTGGATACTTTTTGCTATGCTAAATGTAATGTCACTATGCCTAATGACAGATTGAGGCCTTCGAGAGAGCAGTTTTACTTGCAATGCTTATGTTTTATATTAGTTGGATACTTGCATGAACTGCTGCAATATGTAGTTTTCACTGCAGTACCCGTTTTCTGAACCATAAGATTTATTACCTTGGGGCACCATTTATTTATTTGTTCTCTGAATTGGTGCCCATGTTTGTTAATCTCTCACAATCCACATGCATTTGAAGGATTGTTGTATATATATTTTCCAGAAGAAACCACGCCGCATAATTAGTGAATGATAATCGGTATTATGTTTTCGTTTTGTTTTGTTTTGTTTTCGTTTTTGGTCATAGAAGATATTTCATTTAATGAATTTTGGAAGCTATGCATTCTGTGATTCTGCTTCAGCAATGTAAGACCAAATCTATACCTGTTCTTCAGTGATTCATCCAGATTAGGAATGGCAATGGGGGGCAATGGGGTGGATATTAATTCCCCATCCCCATTCCCCTATAATAAATTTTTCCCATTTCCCATTCCCCATGGGTACCACCCTCCCTATTTTTTAATGGGTATGAATTTTTTTCCAACCCACTTTAACCTTGGGGCACCATTTATTTATTTGTTCTCTGAATTGGTGCCCATGTTTGTTAATCTCTCACAATCCACATGCATTTGAAGGATTGTTGTATATATATTTTCCAGAAGAAACCACGCCGCATAATTAGTGAATGATAATCGGTATTATGTTTTCGTTTTGTTTTGTTTTGTTTTGTTTTGTTTTGTTTTGTTTTGTTTTGTTTTGTTTTGTTTTGTTTTGTTTTGTTTTGTTTTGTTTTGTTTTGTTTTGTTTTGTTTTGTTTTGTTTTGTTTTGTTTTGTTTTGTTTTGTTTTGTTTTGTTTTGTTTTGTTTTGTTTTGTTTTGTTTTGTTTTGTTTTGTTTTGTTTTCGTTTTTGGTCATAGAAGATATTTCATTTAATGAATTTTGGAAGCTATGCATTCTGTGATTCTGCTAGTAGTTCTTCAGCAATGTAAGACCAAATCTATACCTGTTCTTCAGTGATTCATCCAGATCGTTGAGCTGTTGATATTAATTTAAATGTGTTTTTGTATGTATTTTTGTTAATTGGGATGTGATGAGCCAATTCCGCACAAAACAAGGTGTTCCATTGGTGGCTGTGCTGCCAAAGACTTCTCTTCATTAACAACTTCATACACTTGAGAGAAGTTTTTAACAAAAAATAGTGTTTTTGACTAAGTGTAGTTCTCACTCGAAACTTAATTATGCTATGAATTTATTTATATCCAAAATGCTTAATTCTATTAGTTTTTATTATTATTATTATTACTAAATTAAATCCAAAATAGTAAGCACAAATTACAGACTGTGAAATAGAAAACAAAAGGGCTGAATGGATTTTAACATTTTATTTTACTTATTTTTAATGGAGGTGGATGGAGTTGGTTATATAAGGAATTGAAACATGTTGACTTAGTGGGTGCAACTTGAGGGTGTGCTTTCTTCAGGTTTCAGGGTCTTATTAAATGCTATCAATTCTTTGGAGTCACGTCTATGGGTTCTGTTCAAGATTTGTCCAATCCACGTGGAGGGAGCATTTTGCGTGAGTTTTCGGATTAGTTGAGGTTTGTGTAAGCTGTCTATAACGGATCCAGTTTAGACCCGATCCTTTTCATGCTTTTCGATTTGGGATTATGTAGCTTTAATTGTTATTTATACCCTTATTATATTGTTGTTAGTTGAGTTTGGTTGCTTAGAGTTGTTGGTTGTACTTGAAACATGTTAGGAGTTATTTTGTCAAGAAAGAGTTGCTATCCATTTCATTTCTTGTTCGCTCGAGCTGTGTTTTGGTCGCTCGAGCAGTCTTTGAGATCTCCTAGTATTTTTGCAGGTCTGTAAAACTTCTAGGAGTGATTTTCGCTTGAGCGGTCTTTTGCAGATCTGAACTTCTGGGACGGGATAATTGTGCACTTGAGCAGTGTTTTGGTCGCTCTAGCGGTGTCTTCTTTTTTTTATTTTTTATTTTTTATGTCACGCTTAAGTGTTGGTTTGGTAGCTTAAGTGTTCTGTGCGTATATGAGATCGAGGGAAAGCCTCTTTCAGTCACTTTTGCCTTCCTCTCTATCTCTAAAACACTTCTAAAGCTAATTTCTTCACACACACACACACACACTCTCTCTCTCTCTCTCTCTCTCTCTCTCTCTCTCTCTCTCTCTCTAGTTCTTGCCTAAATATCTCAAATACATCATAATCTGTTGATCTCGCCGCCCTTGTACTTTGGGGAAAAAGATAGACCTCGTTGAAAGTTTCGTTTTAATCAGAGAAGATTTTGTTTTCAACTCCGTCAAACTTCTACTCTTGCTCTCTACTTCTTTTACTCTTGATGTAGGTATTTCTTCAATACTTGGTATGATTCTTAGCTTGGCTATTTGCTCTTTAAAAATGTTTAATGATTTGAGAATTTTGGGTTTAAATCTAGAATTTGATTTTGAAATATAAAAGAGAGGTTTTTCAAATAGATTCTTGAGAAAGGTTATGGGAGTGTGAATATTGTTGAGTTGTGTCATAAATGTTAGAAATTTCTTCCTTAAAGGTGATTTTTGAAAGTAAATGATGTTTTATTGAAAAATCATTGATGCTTGATTTATGTAAGAAAATAAAAAGTTGTTAGGTTTGAAAAGATAAAATGAAAGTGAATGTTGATGATGAGAGTGAAGTTGGATATATATAATCGCTTCAATTTTTAAATTTATGATATTACATATGTTGTTGAAAAATTATTTGTTGAGTAGAAATATCTATTTTGGGCTATCGGTGAAGGATAGTTTTGATTGTTGTAGAAATTGCATGAGAATTAGGTTAATTGAAAACTAATTACTCATACATCTTGCATTGAGAATTGTTTCATACTTAAACATTGAAAATATATTGTTTTGAAAAAATAGGTATATACATTGGTGAATTTAGTTAGGGGGTGTGATTGTGGTTTATTATGTTAGCATGTGTATTCTTGTTGAAAGTTCAAAAACTAGCGCAATTAGGTGCTGATCCTTTCAGTTAGTATCGATAAAATAGTTTTGCTAGTACTTGTATAGCCTATTAGCAGACACGTACCTAGAGATTCCTAATGTTTTGTATCCACTGCCTTGTTTTCTGATATAAAAGTATATTTTTTCATGAATTGATATAATGTTTGCATTGCATTGTTTTGAGATGGAAAAGTATAATATTTGACAAATGACATGTATATGCATTCACCTTATGACCTTATTAAGCTTCATACATTGTGTTCAAGTATCTCTACTAGGCTTTAACTCACCCTATGTAGAAAACAACTTTCAAGTGTTGATGATATGCCTCCACCAAGGACATAATTTATGAGGACTTAGAACCGAGAGCTTATTTTTGTTTTCTTTCATGTAATGATTTTGTATAAGCTTTGGGCTTTATATTTATTGACTTTAACTCACTTTTGTGATACCTAAACATTAACTTAGAAAGACATAGCTGATATCAGATGAAATTCTAGCACAGGAGAAGGGAGTTGGTCATGCCAACGTGGCCGAGCCAACAGGTCAGCAAGCTATGGACGCTTTAGCCCGCGAAATGGTAGGAGCACTATGGGAATGCATGGACATTCTCAGTGATTAGAGCCAAGTTCAGGCCTACGTTGCAGAAACAAGGCCATTGTTTTTGAGAGGGAGTACTTCCGGTCGAATCCGAACGAGTTTGTTGACGATCTGAAAGAGCCACTAAAAATCGACGAATGGCTTTAACATGTGGTGAAGACGTTCGAGATGCTTTGGATCGAGGACAATGGGTTGAGAGTGACCTTAGCATCTTTCTAATTTAAAGAAGATACGAGTCAATGGTGGAAGTATGCATGAGAGTGTATTGGGATGATTTGGGAGGCTTTTGTCAATACCTTCCAGGACAAGTTTTTCCCACCTACTAGGGAGAAGTTGAGGGAGCCGTTTTTGAAGCTCAAATAGTTGAACATACTAGTGGCAGAGTTTGAGGTGGCTTTCACAAACTTATCGAGGTTTGCATCGGAACTTGTGGTGATGAAAGAACGTCGTTGTATCGAGTTCAAGAAGAGGTTGAAGACTGGGCTCCTTTTCAAGGTCTATGATTATGGATTACGGTCGCCTAGTAGAGGCGACAGCTCATTTAGAGATCGTGATTCAAATTGAGGAGGAACGGATGAGAGGCTCCAGGTAGAGGCCCCAAGATGTTCAGAGGGATGTAAGGGATAACAAGCGGCAAAGGGGTTCCATCCCACAACAATCCCAGGCAGCGCAATTTAGATCCACCTTTCTCGTATCAAGTTCTGGTTCGGGGAAAGGTAACCAAGTAGTTTTACTTGTTTTAAGTGTGGTCAGTTGGGCCACAAATCTTCAATTTGTCCACAGAGAGGAGGAGGGCCACAGTTTAATTTAAATTTCGGGGACGAAATTTCTTAAGGGGGAGATTATAACGGATCTAATTTAGATTCGACCCTTTTTATGCTCCTAGATTTGGGATTTCGTACCTTTAATTGTTGTTTATACACTTGTCATCTTGTTGTTAGTTGAATTTGGTTGTTTAAAGTTGTTGGTTGTGTTTGAAACAGGTTGAGAGTTAGTTTTTTAAAAGAGTTACTATCCATTTTATTTCTTGTTCACTCGAGCGGTCTTTAACATTTTCCAGTATTTTTGCAAGTCTATAAAACTTCTAGGAGTAGGGTGATCTTCGTTCAAGCAGTCTTTCTTCACTCAAGCGGTCTTTTGCAGGTTTGAACTTCTGGGAGGGGTCATTGTGCGCTTGACCGGTGTTTTGGTCGCTCAAGCGGTTTGTGCGTATATTAGAGCGGGAGGAAGCCTCATTCAGTTACTTTTTCATCCCTCTCTCTCTCTCTCTCTCTCTCTCTCTCTCTCTCTCTGTAACGCCCTCAAAATAATAACATTACACCCATCAAATAAGACATTCATTGACAAATGAAATAACCACATTCTTCTATTCATCAGAGTTTCATTACAAAAGTATTACATGTTAACAACAAAAGCAAAAATGCCCTACGGGCTTACAGCTTTCCAAGTTAACACCTGG